ATATATATTATATATATATATATATATATATATATATATATATATATATATATATATATATACATATATATAGGATATGACAGTATTTATGTGCAGGATCATCCTAGTTTATTCTGGAGAAGGGGGGTTGTTTCGCTCCTTATTATAAGCCAATAAACTTTTTTACACAACATGATGCATTCGTATAAATCATTTCGATAGGTTTGCTTGATCAAAGAATCAATTTTGTCATATTTGTTTCCTTTTTTAAGGCATGCAAACTCTTTATTTCTGAATCATACCAGTCGAAAGACATACCTTATTTTTCTTCTCAAAATCATTCAGAACAATTTCAATCTTGTAATTCATCGCTCACAATATTAGTGTATTAGTTTTTTCCTGCTTCCACGAGTACTGTTAAATTATCTGCCGAACAATGTGATCTCAATCACCTTTTTCTTGCGTGTATATGAATTCAAGATCGTTGCAGTAGTGAAGATCTAATGTTGTTGGAATTAAGTGCAATTTGCCAGGTTGATAGTACTCGTGCGTGATAATGGCAGATTCAAGAGCTGGTAGTTCAGGTATTTTTGATATCCTGTTCAGTGCAGCATACGCCCTGATCTCATTAACAACTCGTGCCATTCTTCGCTTCGGCCTCACGACGGCTTTGATTGCATCCGTTGTAATCACCCTACATGCTGCAGGCCAATTTAGCAAACGAACTTTATCGCAAAGGCAAGACGGTAATTATTTAACTAGAATTTAAAGACGGTTTAAAGGAGGATAATGCTTGTGGTACTTTTTGGAGGTACTGTTCTAATTTGATCTGAATATCACTAGGTTTACCCTACTATCGAATAAAAGCACTTAGAGGAACTTATCATACTAATCAAGAGATAACATTTATGATATAAAGGTAGCAGTTCCCTGCTATTAGTCTCAATCTCACTTCAATCTACTTAAGTGATTTTCACTCTCAATCTTAAGTGATTTTGGTCTGGAGTATCAAATTTCGTGTTTCTTCGCCATGTCCACTCTTTGGGACCGGTTTTTAATCGTTTCCTTTTTTAATAAGCTTCAAAGTTACTACAACATGGAAAGAGAATTTTAAAAAATCGGAGTAAGGAAGGCTCACATATTTCAGTTTTATCCCTGAATATGCCTGACAGCATGTAAATATTATGAGTAGTGGAATGTGGTGTGTAGGCGTAATATTGACTCCTATGGGACATAGAAGAAACCTTTTGCTCATCAGCTTGTTTCATGCTTAAAATCATAACATTTGTTTTCCCTAACAATATCTCATTTAGCCTTCGTTTGTGATATAGCAAGTAACCAATGAAACATTATCATGGGATGCAAAGTTCATGTTCTGCTAATAAAATTACACAGCAATTCTTATCTGTAATTAATATCTAGGATGGATGGGAGGTGGCCACCCACTCTGATTTTTGATCATAAGATGCACAATCCTCATTTCAGTTCTGGATATAGTTTATTGGCGTGATCCAAAGAAATCTGGTGCAGTACTTGGTATTACTCTCCTTACGCTACTCGTGTTCGCGAATTTTCCTTTGATCGCAGTCCTTAGTTACGTTGGACTATCCGTCCTTGGTGGTACACTCGGTTTTCGTATTTACAAGTTGATTGAAGCACAGATTAAGAAAACGGATGGCGCCAATCCATATCGGTAAGTGGGACAGGTCATTTCTGCTTTAACACTTTTGAACTTCCAACCTGGTATGTTTAAAAAAAAAAAAAACCAAGGGTTAAATGTGCATAAATGGTGTTTAACAAAAGAATAGATAAAAAGAGTGATGTCGAATCGTTGTATCGGCGTCAACATCAAAAGGAGTTATCGGATGTATTACCTGAATGCGTCTTAGTATATATCAAGTCTTGGAAATGGTTTCATTCAGGGCGTATTTGGAGAACCGAGAATTTCATTTGCCTAAAGAAAAAGTGCATCAGCAAGTGGATGCACTTATTGAGCATGTGCAGTTTATCAGTAACAAGCTAAGGCGGTTATTTTTGGTAGAAAGTATTGTGGACAGTGTCAAGGTAGCTTTTGTATCCTTCTGTTTTTGTTTTTGTTCAGATGTTGGAGGTTTGGGATCTGGGATATTGATTACCATTTGATCTGTTATGCGTCAGTTGTTATTCAAATATGGTTTGTTTACCTTCTAAGTTGGCACAGATAAATGAGTTGGCCACTTAGCTCAAAAACTTCGTTGGCATAATAATTTCAGTTTGGTCTTCTACTTTGGGCACTTACGTATGTCAGCTGCTGGTTCTCTGGTCTCTCTCTATTGATTCTTGGTGAGTTATTACTTTTTATTTCATTCCCATTAATTCGATTACAGAAGAAGAGAATTTCAATTAATGTTATTTTTGATAATTTGTTCCACAGGATTTTCCAAAAAAAGACTAAGAACTGTACTGAATGGGTGGCGTTCTCTATTCTTATGTTGTCACGCTTATTCCCTCCTCCTATTCTTACAGGTAACAAGGTTAAACTGTATCTGTTATTGAAATGATTCTGCAAGAAACATGGAATATTAAACTGTTATCACAGTCATGACACTTATTTGTATGTTGCGAAAATCATTTTCAGCTATATTGGCTTTGTTCACGATCCCGAAAGTATATGAGGTTTACCAAGAGCCCATTGATCGCAATGTTTTCAAAACGAAGCAGCGTATCGACGATATAAATAAGATGTGAGTATAATTTAGTTATTTTTTTTGTATAACTTGATTGCCGGTGTATTCCTGGGAGATGCTAATATACAGAGAAGGGAAATATGTTTACGTTGCATAATTCCACTTCCCACTGCGGGTTCGAATGTAGGATCTTTATCTTTTTGACAAGGGAATCTTATTATAGGTATGATTTCCCTATAAAATACCTACGCTTTGCTCTGGAGAGAGAGAATTTACAATCATTGAGACTTTATTACAGCACTGAAAATAGACTTAGTTCTCAGATACTTGCCTGGTTAAATCAATTAAATTAGGATGAATTTTAATGGGTGATAAAGGTTGGTGTTATGAAAAAGAAATATTTCCAGGATTGGTGAAAAAGTACCATTTCTGAAGAAATCAACGACTAATGCCTGTGAAATTAGTCATGAAAAATCATATTAATCATATGTGAGTTCCTTCATGGGATGCGCAAAGTTGCTGTGTATATTGCTCATTTTGCTGGCCCCCTTTGTAACTATATTAACAGTTTTTCAAATTCATATTTACAGTGTTAAACTGCTTAATCATGCAGTACTTTAAACTGCATATGAACGGTCCAAATAACTATCGCATGAAGGAATGCACCACAAAGAAAGGGTAGTGCACCAGAAAATGTGATTACTGATCCATTTTCCTCAATTTCACATCATTTCCCTTCCCTTCCTTTATTTCTTTACCTTTTTCCTATTCAGTTTAACACCACTGTATGCATTTTCTGCTTTTGATATTTTTTTCTTGCCGGGTAGCACATCCTCTTGGCTGACATAGGATCTTTTTTCCATGGTGTTTGGAGATTTTAGTTCACAAAATCACTAAAAACACCATATATAGACCTATTTTACAGTGACATCGTTTAGATAATCGAAATGAGTAAACTTTACGGTTACCGGAGTGAAGCTTGAAGAATCTAATTATTAGTAGATCTATCTAGTTAGCTACGTTTGAGCTTATTCTTTTCTACAAATAATACATTTCCTTGCCGTTAATTTGTTGAAATTCTCAGTCATTTGCATCACGGGAAGATTCTACAGCACTTATTTGCTGTTATGCCGACTGCTTCTGCTTCCTTGTTGGCTCGTTTATCTTTTTTCTTCATTTATGTTGATTGTTATGTTCTTGTCTTGTATACCTATCAGATGCAGTGGGATGTCATGATACTATCGCATTAATATATAATACAAAAATGTTGCTTTGTGCTGGGCATAAGACGAACCTGTAGTTGCAGGTCGTCTTGTTGCTGTTTAAGGAATGGATTTTCTGCAGTTATTATTACTTTTGTCTGTCAGGTATTGTATATCTAGAGGCGATGGTGGAAGATTTAGTACGTCAGGTTCATAATTTGCGATTGTTACTGCTTAATTTTATGTCCCTACTTCGGCACACTCCCACTGTAATAGTTGGACACCACTTCGTACTGTATATTTTATTGCTTAATAATGTTTGTATTTCTAAAAACGTTTTACGTGAAGTATATTCGCATACGTTCTGCTCTACTTATATGAATATACTCGAATGCCGAATACCGAATGAAATATTTTGGAATATTTTTAGCATATCCTCCGAATGAAATATTTTGAGAAATTTTGCATTATAAATTAGACTTGACAATTTTTCTAACAGTTATAAATTCATTATGCATTTTTACAGTACGCGGTCACGTAGAATTTTGGCACTCAGGAAAAAAAGGTGTCGCATATTTCTTGATCCTGTTTTTCTCTTCAGTGATGCTATGAGTTTGCGAATTTGAAAGAGACGGGTGGTATGTCCTCAACAGACTTTAACTTGTTACGCTAGCAACAAATGTATGTGGTATTGTAAGGTTGTAGGGAATTGTGTGCAGCACTGCGTTTGACATGCAAAAAGTTTCGGATGGTTCGTAGTGAAAACGGGCACTCGCAGTTCGAGATACTCAGTACGAGTGAAACCGTTTTCCTGATGTTTCGTAACAACAAAGGCAGGTTTTGATCCAAATTAGTGTCGCAAAAGTAACAGTAATCTAAGGTAATAAGGGTGTTGAAATAAGAAACTAGCCGTTCAGAGTCCTGGCATCTACATTCGATTGGGCATCTCGGGATATATGGATTCCCATAGGATTGTCTATTTGAACAAGCTATAAGGCGAACGTTTCGTCACTTTATCTTGTTTCATCTCCAGTGATCTATTTCATTCAGGATGGCAGGAAGGAATATGAAGGTGAATGAAATTAGAAATAACGTAGTAGGACAAGTTTCGTAAAAGGAACCATCAGTGGCGAATATCGAATGAATGAAAATACCCTGTCATTAAAGTATTTTCGAAATGTGCTGAATGAAGGGTGTTGAAATACCTGATTTACTATACAATACATCATTTGGAAAATAGCATCGACATCTATTCGAAAAATTAGGCTTTTTCAGATACAAAAAACCGTCTTGTTCGTCATGCGTCATATTAAAAATGATGTGTAAGTGTCAAAGGAAGTCACAAAAAGGATGTAACTGTATAAAGTAAATCGTAATTCGATGGATATTCGAAATGATTTCTATCCTGTCCTAAATACTATGCCGCATCTTTTATGTCTTCAAATGTAATATATATATGCATTGACACTTGATATTTGGAAAAAAAAGAAATCAATAAATCGATCTTTAATAATATCCTTCCTAGTATTACCGTAGTAGTAACGCTCGAAAGCTATTAAAAAATGATATCCATAATTCATCATCAATCACAAATAAAGATACGTAACTTAGTACAGCTAGTAATAATGCAACACAAGGATTGCAAATGAGGATACGTATGAGTACCTTACCAACAATCTCTAACGAGATAACTATAAAATCAGGTAAAATTTGATAATGAAGAGCGGCAAAAACGATGATTATTATTAGCACCACATAGGGGACATACAAATGGGTACCCATTCCAGAAGCACCATTGCATCCATCGGTATCACAGGATTGCACACATCCAGAATACTGATGACCCTTGTATTTAAAATGACCGCAATGCGAGATGCGCACGATTTCTGGAAATGAATAAATAAAGAATAGCTTGTAGTATTGACAATCGTTGCATTTTCCCTGTGAGCAATTAAGTAATCCAAATAACGAAATAATGCGCTACTTGATAAAGCATAATGATCCTGCCATATGGTAATTGCACTATTTAGAAATACAATCTATTTTTATTTTTTAAATCATTTCATTTGGTCTCTCTTAAATATTATCTGGGACCTGCATAGAAAAAGAAAAAAATGATTGAAGCATATCATGCATCCCAATGTCTTATCAAAATTACCAATTTGTTACTGCAGACGTACCTGTATCTGCAGTGAAAGTACCAGAATCCAGCGCACAGGTTCGGATCACCATAGTCTGTGACACATCGTCTACTGTAAGTACAGTGATATAGGTGATATACAAATGGATGATGATGGGGATGAAAATTACGTCAACGGTAAATCGGGTCCGACACGAAATTTTTATACTTACCTGTTAATGATTGATTGGTAAATATAGAAATTAATGCACTACTTGATAAGGCTAAGGCACAATTTTTCTACCGGATAACTTATAAATTTTCGATCCATTCAAATAAGCTTAAAGTATTTCGTCAAGTTAACTCTAGCAGTAATAAAAGATAGTATCATACTTCGGTGTCCATTTACTTTGATGCAGTGATCAGCAGGGAATAAGCCCTGGCGTTTTTTCTTAGGGCCCAACAAGGATAATGATAGTTGCCCACACCAATCCTATTCGGTTCTTTGTGGAGTATCGTTGAGTTGAACGTGTCCTCGCATGATGGATCTGATCCATTGAATGAGAAACATACGAAACATCCGATACTGTCAACCTCTGCAGAAAAAAGTAAAAATCAGCTGATTAAAAAACAGATGATGTACTTAATTTATATTTGCGATCTTGTAGTTTGGCCTCATTGGACATATAAAGAAGTTAGGGTTAAAGTGGAAATAAAATGAAAGTTGTAAGAAGAAATGGTTTTCACTTACCCTGCATTACCATCATAACAATGCATAATAATTGACCGATCCTTAGTATCAGCTTGTCCACTAAAGAACTTATACAAGACGCCATACACGCCTCAAACCAAGGGCCAGAAAATGTTTGGACGACTATACAAGTTGTTTGAATGAACTATTTGTAAAGCAACTAATCATCGGCTGGATGATCGGTACACATAATCCATTCCGCAGTTACAAGGCACTGCCAATGGTTGCAGTAATAATATTATAGTAATTTAAAGCAGTAATAGGGGTAGCTACTGATAACTCGGAATGAAATACCGAGCGGGCACTCCCCTCCCCCTACGCAAATCCGCATTGTCACCATAACGTCGACCCTTTCTTCAAGAAACATTAAAGATACAAAATGACACTGCTATTTCCTTGTAGAGTGCGTTTCAGATTATTGCTTATCTCTTTCAATACTTCCACCAAAACGAATTGTTACTCTGAAAGTAAACTTGCAAATTACGAACTTCAGAGTGCTTCAACTTGATTATACCATAGTTAAGAACAGTCGAAAGTGAATCCGAAATTTGGAACGATCACAAAAATCATTCCTGAAAGAAATCTAATTAGCGCAGTTAAAAATATCTTAAGCTAATCGTGCCCGGCTAACCAATTAACTGTTCTTCCTACTGATAGTAGAAAGCACAAATTGTACATAAATCCCTGAGATGTTCATGATATCAATGGTCAAACTGAATCAATAAATTCTTCAAATTAGTATACAATAATCACTAATTATCGCAAGAAGAAATGAGATGTTTCACTGAGAGATTGACGATGTCGCGGGAGTATTAGAAGAGTACTATACCCTCAAACATTGCTTATCTATTTATTGAACTGGATCAATAATGAGTTGACAATAACCAATCAACGGATCCTTTTTAGGATGAATTTTTTACAGATGGCCTTGTCATACTCATGAAAGCTGAAAGTATATGTTAATCTTCCAGAATACATTGCATTAAGCTAAATTGTAGAAATGAAAGAACCTTATCAACCCTTTTCTTTCCATTTTATTTCAACCAAAGAGATTGACAGCTTTGACAAGAGTGCTAAGACGGGACATTTATTTCCTTTCTTGTATCTTGTTACTCTGATCTAACTAATCATAGTATCATAATAACATTAAGTCAAGAATAGTCAATATAATCTGCAGTATGTCTTGTAATTGTAGTGCTGTATGAGAGGTTTTTTGTCAGACTACTTATTATTTCAATTGAGGAAGAAAATTCGCTTAACAGACACTCACACATCAACAATTTAATGAATCGTATGAATGATGAATCATACTTCCTTTATCTTTGTCACCAATGGCAGTCATGAGGGACATATAAATGAAACTGATAAGATCAATGTGGATTGATGAGAAATAACAACAGATGTTTCTGAAATTTAACTATGTGAGAAAGGGGATAAAATAAGAAATGCGGAGAAACAGAAATCCTTACCATAATCTTCATTGTTCATTTTATTTCAATACAGATTGATGGAAAGAATAAATTTCAACAATGCAAAAAGAGTAGAAAGAGAATGAATGGAAATGGAAAGGGAGAAAAGCTAGAATTCTAATGCAATAAAATGAAGAAATTAGAAATTGAACTATTTCCTTGACAAGAATGGATTAAAATAATTGAACGGCAATGAGGATATCTAAATACAGAATATCCTAAAGAGGAAATTAGTAAAATAAAGAGAGAAAAATATGTGGGAATTACAGAGACCTTCATTCTGATTACAACTTCTTCAGGAATTATTCTAAAAATTATGAATTAATAATTTCAGCTAGAAATAGAAGTATTAATGTACCGACAGCGATGAATGATTGATATTTCCAAGTTGGTTTTGGATAACAGTAGACCTGGATATGTAATAATAAATGGAATAAAATGTCCAGCTCTTTCTTTTTCGAGATTCCTTAACAACAAATCGATAAAGGACTCTGAGGATCAACTTCCACCCCACAAAAACTTCTTGAATGTTCTATTATCTGCCTAAGTTAAGCCATTATCATACTATCAGATATAAAAGTTTCTTATCAGTTGTCATCCTTTAGACTATTATCACGTAAAAGTATGATAGCAATAATAGCGCCCATCTGATGAAGCTATTTAGGGTAATAAATCTTTCAGCGTACGTAATGAATCCTGAATCTTGTAATCAAAAAAAAAGTCTTGAACTTTTGCTTGGAAGGTTTTCGAAATTGAATGAGCAATTTGGAAAATTGTTTATGCCAGTGAAAAAGCTAAGACCTATAATCTTTTTATTTGCAAAAGGTATCCTAAAAGTAAACATCTTTCAGGCATACACAATTTCGGAAGGTGATCTTCCAAAAAATCAAAGGAAAAATGGAACAGATAAAGCACAATTCTCACTTCTTGTGAACTTTTTCATACATTTAAAGAAAGCATAAACGCAAAACTGCTGTATTAAACATTATAATGCATTCTAATTTAAATAGCTCCATTGAAAAAGTAAAGTTAGATGGCATATTTGGTTGTTAAAAGATGATTGTTATACTTGATCTACTTACACCAATTTGACATAATTAAGTGTCAACCATAAAGTGATATATATTCATCCAGTACGTCCAATAAAAGCCATCGAGAAGTTTGATAAAACAGAAGGTATGGATCAAATTCAAAAGTTTGCAAGTATTTGGCGCAAATAACATCACTACACTGACATTCATATCAATGAGAGATAGGAAATAACTGTATCAAATGATAATAGCCATCTAGACGATATAGTACGAACATTGTAGCGTTAGATATTACGAGATGGCAGTTAGATATTACGACATAGTGTTGTCCGAGAAGCTTGAGGTAAGCCAATAAGATAATTATATGTTAGGTAAGCCAAAAGATCCTGATAATGAGTAGCATAGCTTCCTCCTCATCCAACCAAACAGATAATTTCAAAGGAATTTCAAAAAAAGCATCAAAGATAACTCCAGACAATTGTTACCATAGGTATATTTTAAAAATGAAGGGTTGGAAACAAGCCTGAATTCCAAAAAGAGCCTAGTATTGTTTATATTTCAATAGTGGGAAAGGAGAGTGTAAAGAGGGGTGATGGGAGGGAATGTCATTTTCTAAGTGATAGGAGTTAAAGAAGGAATGGGGAAGCAGAAGCTTGAAAACCAAAACCACGGGAGGACCGGTAAAAGTGGAAAGACTGAGTAAAGAAAGGGAAAGGAAAAAGAAGCATAGTATCTGTCTACTTTCAAAAGTTATACTTGATAGAATGAACCCCTTCCTCTTCGCATTTTGGCATCTGAAAGTCTAGCTAACTGACTAGAACGTTGGAATATTTATTCTAGGCCAAACTCACTCACTCACAAGCCAACAAACTAGTGACATAACTCCAGACTCTTGCAAATTATAGTAACAAATCGATCCAGAAAGGCAGTAGTAGTAATAGTGGGAGCAGTATTACTAATAGTAGTAGTAGTAGTAGTGATTCAGAGTAGCATTTCCTCCTTCGTTTGCATAGACTAGTCATCAGTTCCATCTCATTTTTCTCCATCTCTACTTCGCTGCATCTAATCATATCCACGTCATATTTGATTGCAACTAATAATCCACAATATTGCCCCTCCCTTCCAATCCATGGGTCTCCATTTGCGCGCCCGTAGCCATCTGGGGAATCAAGAATACTGCTATATTTCGACTTACTCCTAGAAAAATAACACCAAAGAATGTTTTCTTTTTCTAAACTTTTGAAATCTCGCCAAATTCTCTTCTTAAATGGAGAAAATAAACAGGCTTCATCGATCAGGGGGATACTGTACAACTTTCTTATCACAGGAATACTAAATCTTACCAACGTAAAGATGCTTGTCAAATTTGCGGAACAATACTTGAGTCTAAATAAAGTTTTCCAACCTGATTATTTGTACTTATGATCTTCTAATAACTCGCCACTGTTTTTCAGGCAAATCTAGAACTGGAAAGCAGAACTCATGCTTTTTTTAAGAAAATATATTTCAATTCTTACTAAATAAATGAATCGAGAGTGATAAACGATTAATAAATGAATCATTAATCTACATCATATATCACTTTCTCCAATTTCATCACTGCTCCAACTTGATCGTGCTCGGACAACATTTGCATCTTGTACATCACCACCTTGCTGAGCCTTCACATATTCACTTTTTCTCTGAGCAGATTTTTCCAATCCAGAGAACGGCTTCATATCTGATTCCTGTTCCTTACTTGTCCATTGCTTAAGTGTTTCCTCCATTAGGTCACTGGTCTTCTCGTTGTTCTTGGCAACAAAATCTTTAACACCATTTTCTTTTTGCAGTGCACCCTGCTGTTCAAAATTAAATCAAAAAAAAGAAATCTACAATATAGAAAAGATTATCACACTTAAACACAGGACCTAATGTGCACTACTTAAATCAAAAGATTAAGACATTTTGTTAGAACAACCGGAAATAACACTAGAAAAGACAAGCTATCATCGTGCCTTTTCTGGTTTATTTCCGGTTGTCCATGCAAACCGTCTTAATCTTTTGATTTATTTTCCTTCCTTCTCATCATTTTTAGTAAATAAAAAAAAAAAAACCTCTTTCAGCAAACATGAATCGTTTTTTTCGGATTCTTCTTGTGATCCTCCCGCACCTTCTTTCTTGAAGTCAATTTCACCATTCAAACTCAGTTCGGGAACATTGGGAATGATGATTTCATTTGCTACGCTCCGATTGTTTAATTCATCTGCACAATTTCTATTTTTTAGTTGAAAGTAAGAAAGATAAAAAGATGATAGAACAGGTACCACAAGAACTCTGTTTTAAAGGTGCTAGCTAACGGATATGATATACTTATTCTGCAAAGAATACCTGGAAAAAAAGTAAGAACAACCTGGACAAAAAACGTACGATGGTCCTGCATTCTTTGGGCAATTTCCCGATTCTGATATTATCTGCAAATTACTTCATGAAGCACCAATCATCGGCAGAGTGAGAGAACGAAAATATAAATATACCTTCAGATCAAGCTCAGCTGGTCTTGGTGGTTCCACCATATAGCATAAATCGACTGGAGAAATCCAAGAAAACCCGTGTTTAGCTCGGGATTCAAATACCGAAGACTTATTAAGGCCGCAACCAAGTGAACCTAGCAGTGACATTGTACTTATTTGACTATCAGTCAATCCACCTATAAGCCTTTGCCGCAAAGGTTCATGAATGGATGCATCCCATGGCATAAGTCTGAAAGTTAATTTCGTTTTCAACCATCTTTTTATCATAATAATCTAGATTTGGTAATGTATTTAGATCTGAAGTCATAGATACTGCAGTTGGATAAGAAAATAAATATGACTGATCAATGGAATAGGTCATCAATAGCTATAAATAAGCTGTAACTCTCTATTCCATTTGGATGAATATAATCAACTGATTATAACGAAAATTTCAAAAGTTCGAAATCCAAATGATGAACGTATAATGAATGTCTTCAACACGACTAAAGAAACAATCTGTAGCACTCACCTAATAGTATTTTTATCATCGACGTCAACTGGCTCGTATATAACAGACCGACTTTTCCTGCAAGATTTTATTACCAACATATAGATGAAAAGTTCCATATTGCTCTATAGTATATGTTACAGCATATTAAGATATAAAATCAAATATTTGCACCTCAAACTTTTTTTCATGAAAAGAATGATGTGATTTGAGGTGGAAAGAAAAGATTCTGCAAAGAAAAACAAAACTTCATTACTTATGATTTTTTACAAAAATGTTTGCTTACTTAATAAGTTCGCTGGCTCGCATTCTGTATAATTCTCTATTATCACGAAGTAATGCTGCTGCTTCGATATTAGCGCATGTTGCTGGGTCTGAATCGAACGTGAAAAATGTCCTCTAGAAAAGAACAAAATAGATTCATTTATTGAAATATCTGTTTGTTTGTTTTTTCGCATCCCATAGCAATTAATGTATCGCAAGGAATATGATATAAGATAGTCACATATATTTTGCAGATGAGGTTGCTATGCCACCTTCTTAACTTGAACCTTCCTCAAGAACGATGAACAAAATAAATAGACGTAGTATATGCCTGCACAATAAGCAAAACGTGGTAGAGATGATGCTGATCAGATTTCCAACCATCAATAAAATACTTTTTCAAATCCAGTTCTCGCGTAGCTGGATTAACATGCGGATGGAACACGTCCAAATCGAAAAATACTGTCTGCAAAAAATGTATAAAAGACTGAAATACAAGTTATAGTTTTTAACAGAATACCAAGACCATAAGTTTCAAAATTTCAGCGATGGTTTTACTTCGTATAAGTATTGAAATTTTTAACTAGTAACAGATATTTTGCGGCAAATTCATCTATAATATGTCAAGGATGTCAACTTTCGGTTAAAGGATAATACGGTCTCAGGTAAAAAGCCTCATAATCTGGCATACGTTACCGGTAATTCCGTGGATGGGAAATCCATAGGAAGATGCAAAGTGAAGCGAAAGACAGCACCAGCATAGACACCCCGTCGAATAAACAACAAACCGAACCATTCTAAAACAAGGTGAAAATGAAACTGATAAACAAACAGAATATTAAAAGATTCAAATTCGAAACTGAAGTCCCAGTCTTGCTATTTATATATTCGTTTCTAGAAATGCTAACAGAAGTGGTTATGATAAGGAAAATTTTACCAACACAACACAAACAAATTTAAAGTTCAAGCAAAGAAACAAAGAAAGAACGTATTATTATGATTTGTGAAGAGAGCTTATATACACCAAAGATTTGTTTCGCCCAGTATGATTCACGACCAAAACATTGCTTAGTCGAAGATTTTGTTCTCTACAAGATGCTATTACAACTAGAAATATTAACGCCATATTTGCAAACACATCCTCTGCTAGAAATATGCAAAGTTGATAGACATGAAGTAATCACATTACCGAACTTGTTTCGAGCACTTGGCACTATATATAAACCATCTATTGGATCTCGGCAAATCATCGCACTGTAATAAGTATTATGAATAATGTATAATTACATGAAAAACCATAGAAAACTTACTATTCGGACATGATAATATGTTCGGTAATCAGCTCCGGTGATAATCGGAGTGGTTCACCTGGCGCCATTTCGGTAGCAATCTCAACCCCTTCGATGTCTCCGAAGACACTTCCTGATGAGAGGAACGAACTGTTGCAACGTTTCATACGAATTTAGTGAGGAAAGTCCCTTATCGATGAAATATTTCAACTTTCACAGCCTATAGCCATGTTACCAGTTAATTGAAATAACAAGCAGTAATCCTAAACAAAATGCATTAAAGTAATTGGTTATTTGGTAAACTAAACGACTGTTGTAAAAACAAAGTTTCGAGTAATCAAAGTACATTAGATCCTCTGTACATCCCTAAAGACCACGCTGGTACGGAAACAAACCAGCCGAAAGCGCAAATGAGTCAACACATGATTCCCACCTATTTCCACGGTTGTATGCGAGGCAAAGTACATCGAAAGTATCCAACTGCCCTGACTTATCAAATCTCTGTTAGAACTAGAATTTCACGAAATACCTGTCTCTTATGCGACTAACAGTTCAGTACTCAGTTCAGATCAGCGACATTGACTAGGACGATGATATGCCGCAGCACAAAACCACCCAAAGGTTGCTTGCAGGCTAGCATATGAAGTACACTGTTACAAGTAATGGTAAAATTTTTTATTTCAGACATGACACAGTAAGGCGAACTGCATATAAAATAGAAAAAATACTACCAGTATAACTCAGTCGTCGACTATGAAAGAATATGAAAACAACTGAGCCATTGGAACTTTTACACATTAGAATACAGACAGCATCTTAACGAATAAGAATTATAATAATCTATGTAAAAACTAATGAAGGACCCACTCTACAACAGCCCTATTTGAAAAGTTGCAGAGTTCGATATAAGCAAAAAAAGTTTCACGCCCTTCTTTCTGTGCTAAATAACTTAGGACTCTTGGCTAATGAACCAAAACTTAACACTTCGGAACATTAAAACCACTTCAGTCTCTTCACAAAACGGTGCAAATATAACTTTACTGACTTGGTAATAGAATACATAGAGTCACAGTAAATAAGATGAATATTAACTTCGACCTGGTGGTATATATCCTGCATAAATACCCACTGGTTTTTGTGCAATTAATGTCGGAATATTGAGAAGAACTGATATTATTGGTATCAGCATCAGTATCTTACCAATCTTGCTAAGAAGAGCAGACAAAGGTAGCGCATTTTCAGGTGCCATACCTTTCAACTCAGTGTTAATCTGAAAAACATGCTTTATTTGTGCACTTGTTTCAAACAAAGGGAAGCGGAAGGTGAAAGCCGGAAGGTGAAAAAAGTTTCAAACAATGCTACAAGCTAAGTTATAGAAGCACGTCGAAATCGAACGAGTTCATATCAAAGGTCAGAACAAGTGACATATTAGCACTAACTCAGACAGAATTACATTGAAAGGCCAGTTCGTGAAACTAGGACAACTACAGTTCGAAATTTAAGATCATCAAAATTAGAATATACAAGAATTGATGCGATAGGAAATAAATTCCTTTCTTGCTCATCTGAATGTGCGTCAATATCCATAAACTCCTAAAAAAAACTCTTACCTCAGCGCGCGTACGTTTAATTTTAAAGAGAATTCTTAATACAAAGAAGCATTAACTTACAAAGAACTGCTGAGCTATTTCATGCAATCCCGGTTTGTAAAGACCATATTTACCCATCACAAGCTTACCCACTCTTGTCCCTTCCGGTAGTTTCGGTAACAGACGCCCTCCTACCTGAAAAGCATTCACTACTGAAAAATCAACATATATGCAAGAAAATAATAAATAGTCATAAATTGTGATTTCGAAACCACCAAAATGCATTAAATTTGTCACTCCAATTCACGCTTACAGTTATCAAGAAAAATTTCACGGATGATTGATCATATATTTGGATATAATGTAACCCACTGGAATGCACAATTTCCACTTCTAAAATAATATTATATTAGAACTAACACCAAGTTGCCATTCAGTATGAACAAGCGGATTCCATTCAAGTACAGGAGGTGGCTTCTTTCCAGCAATACCACCGCCAACAGGTCCTCCACCGACGGTTAATTCAGGAACAGTGGAAGCTTTAGTGCTTGTATGCAATGACCCAAGTTGTTGACAATCTTGTCCGCTGAGACCGACGCTCCACTTTACATCAGCCACATCACATTCTCGAAGTATTTTGTTGGGCACACTAATCTGTTGCGATAATCCAACCTTCAAAAAAATAGTTTTATAACATTAACATCATAGAATTAAATACTTACATATTAGAATTTCCATCCCTTTCACCTGCTACATTTCATATAAATTTTATCTGTTATCGACCGAACAACCTGATAAATCCAGTCTTGTTAATAAATGAATACTTGTAGAAAGCAGAATGTATCTACCTCTGGCAGTGCAGACTCAGGCACCGGAAGTAGACGATTCGCGAGTGCGGAAAAGCGGAAACGTACCATCGATGCCGATCAAATGGCAAACCTGGAATACGACCGTGAAAAGCATCGTGTAGATGGAACAGAGCATATAGTTTAAAGATATATCATTTCAAAATTTCGTACTTCCCCTAACAGTAATTCATAGGCATTTCCAGCTCATTCATCATAAATTCGTAGTAAGAGAGAGAATGATAAAGCGCTCAGACCAAAAGGTCTGAGAGCCTAAAAATGTACTTATTGAATAGTTAACTGTTTTTGAGAGTGAACGAGAATGGTAATTCCTCAAAAATTATTGTAAATATTAGATGAAAGCTAATAGTAATTTTCAATTCTCTCCTATCAATTCGATGGATGAGCATATCATTCAATGAATGTATGTGAATTACTTTTCATTATTACACTATACTCTATCTCTATCATACACGCCAGAAAACTCGATAACTTGTCCTCAGCAATAGTTTATCAGTAATATTTACGTTTTACGTTATGAGACTACATTGATACGATATTAAAAAGTTCCAAAGAAATGATTAGAACGTAATATAATTTATAGCGGAGAAGATTGCCGCGAAATTAAGCTGGGTACTACGGGATCCAATCGGGTCCTCTAGGACAGAACAACCACCAACCAACAAAACACCCATCCTTCCACATCTGCTTTTAGATAAAAAGTAATCGATACACCGCGACAACGACTTCACAAAGCCATGAGATAATATGACTTCATGACTTCATACATAGATTTAGAGAAACAAGATGAGACAGCAGAGATTGATAAGATTTAAAATATAAGGTGTTTTTAGGTAGCATGAAGAAACAGGAATAGTACTGGAATTATAGTAAAGATCAAGAATGCAACTTGAATAGATGCAGACTATATGGTAGAGAGTTAGATACAGAGAGAAAGCAAGAGAATTAGACATGATTCGAGAGATTGTTATGGACGGGTTTTGTAGTTGTTCCATAATTACTTTATATCCTAGTAAGGTTGTAAGTGTTACTGGGCTAATTATAACAAAGCCAAGATGAGGCTACTAGGCTGACAAGTGACGATGGGACTGCAAAAGCTAATTACACGCTGTAGGAATTGACGGAAGTATTGTAGAGTTAAGAGAATTTATTAGCAAGGAATTTGTTAAGGCTTTGTTTAACTTTAACTGAGCATTTCTCTTAACTTTTTTACGTTGCGAAAGTTAATGTCATTAGATATGATATAATTTTTGATGGTTCTCTGACAATATAGTGCATTTGATTGGTATTGTATTTTGTCGGTATCCTTAATCACATTCTTTTCAGATAGCAAGATAGAGAGAGGGAGAGAGAAACACAAACAAGTGATGAAAAAAGAGCCTGAAGGTGAGGAAGAATTGGAAGAAGGAGCAGAACATGCGAAAGTTGGTGGTGATATCGATGGCAGTGACGACGATGATGAGTAAGTATTCCTGTATTCTTCATTCCAGAAGGTTTTGTATATGAGGATTTACCGCGAAGAATGGGAATTATCCATTTTTGGGAAAGTAGAACATTTATGCGAGATAGTCATCTGATGCCTTCTTAAATTTTTCCTTCTTTTGGATTTATTATCCAATATGAGATATAGATGCTTTCCAAAAATCGTTTTGGCAGTCTGTAATTCAAAATCAAATGTTATTCAGCAGTGGAACTAGCAGCAGTGGGGAAGAAAATGTTGAGCTTATGGTTACTAGTCGTGAAAAACGTCCCAATGCTGGTAATAAGATGGCGCAGTTGTTGGAATCCGCCGAACAAGAAGATGAATTCTACAGAAACACGTATGATGGTAGATTTCTTGAGGTAGTTTCTTTTCTTTTTTCCATTGAGTACTGATGAATTGAATGTAGAAAAACGGCGCGTAAGATTGCTGTTGATGTCTTACAAATGAAAACCCCTAGGATTATAATTTCTGTTCAGATTAATTTTTCACGAGAAAAACTGACTGATTCATTTTGTTGTGGACTAAGCTTGTAATTTTAACGTAAACTGATTAGGATATTTGGCATTCCAAAACATTATAGATAATTACTGTCTGACAGACTGATTACTGTTTAGTAGATTTGTTTAGTAGACAAATTTTAAGTCAGAATTCTTTTTGCTATTGATGCTTTTCTGGCAATTACGGAGTCACTTTTGAATCATTCTCAGGATGATGTCGATGATGCATTCGAGTCACCAGTGGAATCGGATCATGATGAAGTAGATTCTGACTTCGATCATCCTGAGGAAGAGGATGAACCAATTAGCGATGCAGAAGAAGAGCCCAAACGACGGAAACGGAAAACTGGTTATAAGGTAATTTTACCACAGATATCAATATCATCTCCTTTCCATCAGAGCAAAACAATAAACTTTTTTTGAGTACACCTTACTAAAGGGGGTGATATCTTTGTTTTGTAAATTATTGTAGTCGTTTTTTCAATTTTCTTAGGAACCGAAATTGGGTGGTAGCCCTTCAAAAAGAGCTTTGCTAGAAAAAACAAAAAATGGGTAATGGCACGAATGGGTTGCCTTACTGCAGCTGCCAATGCCGTCAGTCCTGAAACTCAGGTATGTTTCATCCTTTTATTCATTCTCTGGTTATTTTATTATGATTTAATATCTACGTTCAGAATCATTATTAAAACAATTATTCATTAGTCAAAAGTCGAGATGTTCACTGTATCTTAAAATTTAATCACTTTTCTGTTCTAGGCGCAATATTTGGAAGAAGCCAAGGAAACAGAACGGAAAAACGTTGCATCATTAAAGAAATACGAGCAGTTTGAGCTGGAAAAGAAAAAGAAACGTGAAAAAACAAATGTTATCCGCAAACTGAAACCACCCTACATTAGCATTACGGATGGCCCCAATGGCAAATGGATGATTGTTCCAGATATCAAAAAATTTGTGAAACCGGAAAGAGTGGTGAGTTCTTCCTTCCCATTAAAATCTTTATTTCCCTACTTCCTTTTATATTAAAGCGGTTGGCCTGTATGTATACTTGTACGTATAACCAATGTGAAGGTAACAACAAATCGCATCTTCTATGCTTGTCCATATAAGTGTCATCTTACTGGTTTCTGTAAGACAACATTTCAGGTAAAACTCCTTTGTTGCGTAACATCACGTCCAGCAAAATATCGTGACCCATTAACTGGTTTGCCATTTGCAACACCTGAGGCATTTAAACTTATTCGAGAAAAATACGCAGAATATTTGAAAAGTATGCCTAATCATCCAGCAGTGAAAGCATGGCTCTCCAAGAAATGTTAATTTCATTTTTCTCTATATGATTATTCGTTTGCATGTATCCATAACAGGCTCATCAGATTTTTCGTTAGATGAATTTTTCTTTGCACTACTTATGTCATTTCATTCCATTTCATGGCGGGCTTTGTTAGAGTAGTGAAGGAGTTTAGGGTTGTAATTTAATGTTTTTCCCGAAATTTTTTCAGGCTAAAATAGCACGGATGTGATTTAATTTCACATTGGTGTAATTATAATAATAATAACGAGAAAATCATTTGTCTGTCTTTCTTTCCTTTAGCATCCTCTTACGCTATAAAATTCACAATGATAATGTCCATTTATGGCTACATCAACAAAGGATAGTTTTTGATTTGTTACATTAAAGAAATTTGAAAACTTCATTAGTTCCTTGACTGCTGAGAAATGAAATAATAGTAAACTTAAACACAAATCACATTTTTTGTACACAATTTGTACATTTTATTGGTTTTAGATGCTGAACATATCGGATAAAAATGTATTTTACTGTGACCAGAGAAAATCGAGGAATAGTTAGAAAAATGAATAAGGGAAACTACCTGGCTAATTCTTAGGTTTTAATTCAAACAATGAACGTCTTAAATGTTACTGCGATATAACCCTAGGCTAAGCAGAAACTAATGCAATAATATGTTCTCATTTCTTCTTCCCTTTATTTTATGCTTATTTCTATATCCCTATTTTTTTGATACTCGAATATTGTGTCACCGACTTGCAGGACTAACATCGCTTTCCTGGTGTGAATCAAAAGCTCGGTATGAGAGTATGAGACATTCGTTGAACTAAGCGGTTTGTTCAGATCTTTCAGTGAACAATGGACCGATTATAACGTACAAGAAAAAACGCTTTTCCCCTCGTATAACTTGGAAGTAAATTCATGATAAATCACGATTTTTTTTCTTTTGACAAAAGTCGGGCAAACTCTTCGCGATTTGCCAAGAAATACTAGAGTCCACCCTCTTTGGACCTTCGACCATCACAACATCTCTGAATTGTTTATTAAGGACTATTTATCGAGAAGAAATTCCTTCCAACGCATTTAGTCGTTTTGTCATCCAACTATATTGTTCTGCGGTTCAATTTTTATTGGAAAGGATAAGAGAAATTCAGTTCCGTATTAAAAAAAAGCAATGTAGACTCTCAGAAAAATCCTTCCTACATGTCCCGTTGCTCATTACTGTTTTGTCGTTTCTTAAAAAAGCCGTTGACCGTCTGAATAAAATGTAATTTTGATCTGCGCCACAACTTGTTCAGTTAAATTCGATGTAAATCCTACTGTCATTGCTCAGCCGACTAAATAGCTTGTGCTACTGAACTGAGTGTTAATTTATTAATTTTTGCTTGTAATCACTCATAATATTCGTCTAGAACGAAAGATGGAAATATAGTTTCACTAAAAATGCAAAAACAGTTGATGGGTTGGATCGAAATGTTTACGGAGCTGAATCTATCAGAATGCTCCTTGGCAGAGGAAACCAGTTGACTGATTGTATTATCAAAACAAAAAAAATTTGGTGTGGAAAAGACTGACCATTTCATAAATTTTGAGGTTAATCTACTAATTTTATAGTTCACACCGATTCTCAGGAACAAGAAAATCTACAGTTCACAAGTTTACGTACAGGAATTTCAAAGCTGTGGCATGTTTGGCATTCGAGTCTTAACCTGAGGGAATCGGAATTATAAAGTGATAATGATATACTAATAAACAAATCAAGAAGTACAGGGGCGAACAAAATGTCATTTTAAAATTTGAAATCTTTATATTTCTTCTGTTGCTGCGTTGATTTCTTTTGTTCCTGTACCTTTCTTTTACGCTGCAAAACAATTAAAATCAAAGTAGAACAGATAACAAGAGGAAAAGCAAGAAAATGCTATAAAACTAACATTCTGTTTAGCAGAATGTTCAGCCACCATATCTGAGAAATCTTCGTCATCATCCTGGCGTCCACGAGTTTGCTTCCGCAACTGTTCTTCATACTTTTTCTCCAGACCCTTTTGATCAGCAAGATCAAGGTCTTCCGGATTCAACGATACTTCTACTCCAGCATCCACTCCTTGCGATGCGGGAGCCGGAGGTGGTTTCTTCTAAAAATTATGAGATAGAAATTTCATCCACAACATATCTGAATTTTCATAACCTTGTTTAGAAACCGGAAAAGCACTGCTTTCGCTGATGAATGTGTAAAAACAAGAAAGAAATAGGGATCAAAACAAAACAAAGTAAAAAAAAAAAAAACCCAACCGACAAATCATAAACATGAGTACTGGCCATCATCTGTCCCGCAATACGATCAATCTTACGTTCTTGAAGTATCGTGTAGAGAGTTGGTGCAGGAGTCTCACCACCTGTTGTACTGCTAAAATTTCCATTTAAACCGCAGGTTTTCAACTTCCTAATTAATACACAGATTCTGAATTTAGTAAACTAAGAAGATCTAATTAATTCTAAATACTATTCATCATGTTCAAGCATCTACTTTCTAAGGAATTATTGTACACCAGAGTTTTACCTAAGAGCGAATATTTATTACACTAGGAAAAATGAAAACATTGAAAACCCAAAAAACCTGTCTTCTATTCGTTTGCCCTTTCGCAATTCGATGGTATCCGGAGTTTCAACACCAGTAAGAACGCCAGAGGTCATTCCTGACGGCGTTGCAAAACTAAAAAGGAAAAAACAAAATCTCCTTAACTTTAAATCATACTAATGTAATTTGCAAAGTAAAGTGATACAATAAAGTTCCAGTGAAGTAACTTCTTCTTTAAAAGAATGCGACAAAACATGAAAGGCGTCTTTTCAAGACACCTTGCATTCCGTTTTTATTAATCTTTTACCTTCACTTTGTACAGCACCGAGCCAGAAGTGGAACTAACCCTTCTGTAGTAGCTGGAGTAACAAAGCCTGCTTCAACCGCACCACGTTCACCTTCCTCTTCTTCTTCACTTTCTTCACTAGAATCCTCATCACTACCTATTTCACCCCAATGTCGTCGTTCTATTCTTGATTCGTCATCCAATTCTGGCAATGTTGGAGCCTGAAAAAGCAGCATCCCCATTAAAATTGGAGAACGTTATAAAAGACTTACAACAATAAGTAGCACCAAATTACAAAGCAAAAAGATCATCTTCATGTACTAGACACAAGAGTCCGATTTATTAAGCTTCTGATTTAATGTAACACAGACTAAGTACGGTATTTTGAAACTTCCTACAACTTTCTTCCCATTACAAACACAGGAATGAAAAGTGTGAAAACTGGCTTTATACAACTTAACATATATCCAATTTTAATCCTATAAAATGAAACCGGACAAGAACTGAGTTCTGCTTTAAAAATGACGATGGCTACATATAATCGACTCCGATAAAAATATCCGTGGAAGCCTGATGCCAGCTATATTGTCCTGCTAAAGCTAACAAGTTCGAATTGTCAGAAGAGTCAGATAAATAAACGTAATAGGTTGATGGATGGAATCATCAATCTCCTTCACAGAGAGATCTGTAATCGTATCATCAATTGGATACTCATTCTATCGAATGTTCGTCGTGATGCCAAGCTCAAAGATTTTATTAAATTCAGAATTGTAATCGTTAAAATCCAGTTTAGCAACTAATATTAATCTGCAACCTCAAGGCCAAATACATCGCCATACAACGGCTTGCCCATTTCATCGACTGGAGGCTTACCCCATCCACCAGCATGATAACCAAAAGCACATCCTTCCGGGATGGGGCAATTCAGTCCCGGTATTTTCAGGTTCGGATATGATGGCGGTGGCCCATATCGCTGCATTGCAATCAACCAGGGAGGCGGAAATTTATGTGCATTCTGAAAGACAAAAAATATCACTAGTCATTTCAGTTACGCACCCGACCCCTGCCTCCACGAACACAAGCAAAAATAAACATAAAATTAAACTTACAGGTCCGACAGGCATTCCTAACGCAACTCGCAGTTCATCGGTCAGTTCACCTGGTTTCTTCTCACGCATGACTGTTTCCAGTTCTTTACCTTCATAGTACAGTTCACCCATTTGGGTCATCACAGGTTTTGTTTGCCATTTGAAAAAAGCATCATGCAACTTTTGATAATCGATATCAATACGGCCAAGCTTCGGTCTTGCACGTTCACGCATCTTTGACTTTAAGGACTGAGCATCTTCCTAAATTAATGATATTAAAGGAATAAAGTAAAGCAAGAATTTATTGGCACACGACACATCGTATTGGTTTCACATTGCAGGAAGGAAGCTTTCACTGTAAATCTCCTCCTCTCTTCACTCGTTCGAGACTCATGATCTTGTAGAATTGGTGCAGGTCAAACAATAAAAACTGGTCCAAATTAAAAATAATACTCAAAAATTCATGAAAATCTGAAGAAATTTACTTTTTCCCACATTGTTTCACGCATTTCCATTATGCCCGTCCTTTTGATAAAGTCGGGCAAGTCAAACGGAGGCCTTTCAAAACCGCGTTTGCCTGCCAAATATTTTCTCTTCGCATTCCAATGCCGCGGTACAGGTACGGTATTTCTGTACGCTTTCAACGTAACCAGGAGATGAGGATCACGTGAAGTGACATCCGCCCATTCCACTACATCTGGCCGCGTTGTCACCTGAGATATTACTTACGTAACATTTATGTACTTAATAGTTTACTATAACCTGTCAGGGATATAAACCTGTATTTCAAATACCAAGTCTCCCTTACATTTTCATTTAAAGATTAAGATGTAACTCATAAGGAATTAGTACGTTTCTTTTTTGTATATCCATATTAATAGAAATCATAAGAGGCTGGAAAACTGCTAGAAAATACAGAAATTTAATTGCATCAAGCAAACGGCCTATGACTTAGAAATAATAAGTACGTTCTTCCGAATACCTCTTTCAATTCGGCAATAGTCGGTTGCATTGATAGACGAAGTTTCCTCTTGCTCAAAGTTTGTGTTTGACCAGCCTCTTCTTGTTCGCGCTAAAAATGTAACGATATTTCTCATATTATGAAGCCAGCAGCATTAATAAGATTTTTATGAAGATACGCAATTTATGTGCACACTTTATGAAGAACATTATTACCACTAACAAAGATATAAACGGAAAACTCTTAAGATCCATCTATACATTTTTAAATTTACACTGAGGGAAGAAAGAGATAAGAAATCTCTCAACAATTACCCGCTTTTCACTCATTTCTTCCTGCAAAATCTTTTCCGAAATAGAAGCCTTTGTTGGTATTTCTTCTTTCTTCATTTCTGGTTCAACTTTCTCAACAGGTTCCTCCTTCTTTATTTCTTCGCTTATCTGCACAGTTTATGAAGAACATTATCACCACTACCAAAGATATAGATAACAGTTGCAAACCATTACATCTTTTAGCATATTCTACATTGCAGGATAATGAAGAGGTTTCTATTCTGAGCTCATAAAATCCAGTGATATCAACAGAGAAACCATTACCATCAAAAAATGAAACTCCCATGGATACCTTGAATATATCTAGCACTTGAAAACTACCAACTAGTTTAGATCACCAGGATATAATTATAAATGTCATATGAAATCAGAGAAGACAACAGCTACTATCCCAAGACCACCAATGAAATAGAAAATAAACGATAAGGAAACCTTGAAACTTTCGAAAACTTTTGAAAAGTAGTGATAGTTTGGATCACTGGCGTCCAACTCTAGAGGTTTCCCAACATAAATCACTTCAACACTATCTTCGGTATCACTAGCTGCTGGGGTTTTATCGATACCTAAATTTCATATTTTAAAATCCAGGAAAGAAGTAACACATAACTTTACAAATAAAGTAAATAACATAGTGGTTGTGCTGAGACAGAAGAGATTTCAAACATAAATACCCGTAACAGACAAATAGAGAAAATGGCGATTAAGAGGAAACAGCAGAACCTGAATCCGAATTTCTAGCACCGTCTTCTCCATTAGGCATTCGCAGAATCTTTTTCTTCTTCGATTCCTTCTTTTTTTTGTTTTTGTTTTTTCTACGTTCTAGTTCCTAAACAGAAAAGTAAAATGAACAAGATGAACCCAATAAAGAAAGAATTCCTAATAAAATTTTACATTATCCACTCTAATCGGTCCAAAACAGCAATCCCTCTCATGAGATCATAAAAACACATAAAATGAAAAATATTTAGAAAGTATGAAAAAAGTTTGGAATTGTTTTATACTGTTTTGTCCAGAGTTTTTTTTTTAGTCGACTAACCTTTAGTTCTTTTTTGGTAAGGATAGGCATAACCTCCTCTTCTGAGGGATCGGTCACTTCGATTTCTGTCATTTCTAGAACTAATAATTAGTGCAGTAAGCTGAAAATTCAATAAGATTTCAACAAGGGCAAATTTTCATAAATTTAAATTTATTACTAATCATTAGTTCCCCCGCCTTTAACGTCACCCTGATAAATGGAACTAAGCCACCAGTAACCCCTCAACGTCACTTGCCACCGATTGTCAGGCTAGGTAACGACTTGCGATTGGTTGGTTGGCATACTACGCTCCATAACTTTAATTGTCTGCCTATGAAAATAGTGTCATCCAGCTGTTCTTCTTCATAGTTGGGAAGCCTTATTGAATCTCTTGGTAAGATGGTGACAGGAAAGTCTCTTGAATCTCTTGGAAAGCGGGTGACCGGGAAGCTTTCCAAAATAAAATATCAGCATGCCTTCCCAATCGCATTAAGTGATGAGTAGTTTGGGTTGTTTCGAAATACTTATTAGCCAGCCTTACTCAGTCATCGATATTGAGTGATGCTACTCAGGCTCAATAGAACAAATTGGAGAATATAGCTCGGAACGACCGAGATAGTCCAGAGGGCGTTGAATCAAAGTTAAGAGTGTGGGGAGAGTTTAGTGTTCACATTCCTTGATGTAAATCGAATTTCTCGTCCAGTTTCTATCCCCAGGATTTTCTCACTTCATCTGCTTAACACAGAATGATATCTCTCTGATAGAACATTCTGAATGTTTGGATACTATAGGATGGATGAAAACAATGTCAATTCAGAATCTTTCGGAAGAGTGGCATATGATGAGGACAGATTCCAATCATGCAGTGGACTGTTCAGCATGCTTTGATGTGACTCGCTTTTCGAGTGACAACATCATTCTGTCTTGTAATTTTAGCTCAGTCTGTTCATTTGTCTGCTCAATTGACAAAGTTCTAAAAAATTTTGGAAGTTTTCGAATCTTCGGATTTATAAAAGTGATAGCACTTTTGTCTCCAAGTATGATTCATCCGGAAGATTTCTTCAGTTTATTGCAAATTGCTTGACATAGCACTTTTCTTCCGTAAAATCTTTACATATTTCGGAAATTTCGGAACATTTATGAACTGAGTTTTAAATCCAAACGATAAATAAAAATCGGTGAAATCGATAGGATTTGACATTCGTCTCCCTTAGCTCTGCTTTTGTCATGGATTTTTTCTCTTCCCCGCATATTTCATCCGGTTTTAAATGGACACTTTTTTAAGTCTAGATGATGAGTGGACAGTCCTCAGCTACTTCAGTTTCATAGAATTACAAATAAAACTAGAAAAGCAAAGAGAAAGTGATAAATAGTTAGGTAGGTGAGATTAATTTTAAGTCCTTGCAAAGGTTAGTCTAATTTCACAAAATTCTCTTAAAATTCAAGAATCACTTTCCATTTTTGCTCATTGTCTGCCGACAAATGGCTGACAGACAATTACCTGTATAATAAGCATCCCGGGTCTCTAAAATCAATGTATAACATAATAAAATAATTTGACACTGATTTTACGAAATTTGAATCATAAAACATTTGCACAATGCTCAATTAAAGGTATTATAAAATCAGCCTTACATATCACCTTGACTGTTAGCGATTAATTTTCAGAGTTAAGATTTACCCTCCGAAATCAATGAATCGATTGACTTGCCTTTGAAACATTGTGGATCGTTTTCTTCACAAATAATAGATGTCGCCGTTATCGTTGACAACCTTTTATTCATCTCGGAAACTGCTGTCTATCTTTTTCCTTCTCTTTTTAAAAGTGCTGCTATATTCAAATTTCAAATTATTACATCCATTCCGCACAAAAGCAAATGATCTGTGCTAATTTCTCTCACAATCCATTCCTGTTTTGATGATGATTAATTTGTACAGTTTTACTTGGCGACTAAAGGAAATAACCTATAAATATGAATTTCTTTTATTTCCATTTAAATCTACAAATTGTCTTTTTTTTTAATAGCAACAGGTGATAGTGACATGGTGACATAGGTATTTAGACAATACTTAGCAGTTTTCGCTTCAATTAAATTGTTCGCCACAGATGCAAACTATAAGCAATGCTTTCAAAAAACTCCATCGTCTGCACTTTTTTCATTTTGTTTCTGTGGAAGGAAGTAAATGCTCGAAAATCGCGCATTAATTAAAAGTTCTTAAATTTAATATAACAAGTTATTTAGATATAAAAGTTAATCGATAAATATACATTTTCAAGCATTTCATAGCTTTCGAGTAAAATTTAAATGAAAGAGCAACGTCTCGTTATAATAATGATAAGAGCAATAAAAGATATGTTTATGAGTCGTAAAACAAGCATAGATTGTTATTTATTCATTCAAAACATTTTGATATATTTGTTGGATAAATAAAGACGAAAAAAAGGTCTGAACAGAAAGGGCAAAAGTAATTTTCTTCATCTGTAATTTCTCTATTTAAATTGCCTTCTGATCTGATATGCTTATGAACTTCCCCAATATCTTTTTTGTAGTCCACTGCTGATTCTTCTTATTAACAGTAATGCATGATTAGTTGATATAGAAATTAAGCTTAATAGATTTAAAAATTGACAAGAAATAAAACTAGGGAATGATCCTTGCAGTGAAATGAATGAAATTCAAATGTGAATAGTGTGTTGGGAAAAAATGCAAATTTTTGTAAGAAATCCCGGGAAATACCACTTTCATACCCCAGTAAAAATTCAATCAGCAATTTTGAGCATGCTATGTGCAGACAGACTACCATACTCTTTACATCACTAGTTTCGAAAATTTCAATATTTCATAAAAGCATTTATGCATGAAAGTGATCATTCGTTATTACTTAATCATTTACTTCATTTTTCTTCTTTATGACATAACTGAAATTGATGAATTGTAGATTGAGAATTACGTTTCACCTTTGAGTGGAAGATATTTGTAGTGGAATAATAGGATAGAAGAAGCTAACGAAAGTCCGATCAATCTTGGAAGTGCAACCGGAATTATTTTTTCTTTAAGAATTTTTTTCAATGGTATTGAGAAAGATGAAAAAGTTTGTTGAAAAAAAAGAAAAAGAAAAAAAAACGAGAAAGCAGAGGTAATTTAGGATAAATGGGTTAAAACGTAATTAAGAGCGGGAATTCCGAGATATCGAGATGTTTGTTTAGTTTTAGATGTCAGGAAAGTTATTTGTTCTAGTACTCTTTACCAGTGCATTTCTAGCTCTCAATATTTGCGTATTTCTATTGGAGAACGATCCGGAAGAGAGAGAGAGAGAGGGAAAGGGAGAGAAAGAAAGAGAGGGGAAAGAAACATTTATTACATACCCATTTTCTAAATTTCTTCTTTCAGTGACTGCTTTTTTTCAGATTTGATTTTAATAAACGGAAATAATCGGAAATTAAGAAATTTTATTGGTAAATTTTGTTGTGTAGTATGTGAATAAATGTTTCATATAACGTTCAAGGCGTACCAGATTCAGTAGTCGAAATTTTTCCGGAAATTTATTCGGTCCTTAAAATTTAATGTATCCTTTTTCGAAAGTACAGCTTCTTGTATTCGTTATCACCGTTTTTTTTTTCTTTTTTTTTCTCTCTCTCTCGCAAGTTAATTGATGACTTTCCTTCCCAGCTGGAAATTCTTCATTTGTTTTTATGCTTTATAGTCTTTCAGTTTTTAAGAAGAAATGAAACAGGTAAAGTTAGTACGTACATTGCAAAGGAAGAATGTTGGCATTGGCGGCACATGGATTCTTCGGTGGAAATTTTGATGGAATTGGCCAAGTGCTAGTGAAGACCTGAAATACTTTTACCTATTCCAGTAATATTTATTCTAGTAACTTTCTGTATCATTTCGCAATGAAGACGCCAAAATTTTGCCATCTTCGAAGGTTAAACAATACTTTGGATAAATTAAATAATTGTTTAATTAAACTTTTTAGAATCATTGAAAATTTTAACAATTCTTTCATTGATAAAAGATAATGCCAATCGATTTAATTAAACAACTGTTATTCAATGATGAAAGAACTGAAATTTTTTTTGTACATTCAGTTTTTTCTTTTTTTCTTTTCAACCGATTTCTGTACATTTTGAAAATTACGCAGTATCCTTCCCAACGATTTTCAAAATCTTAAAGCACAATTTAATGAAAGCCTTTTGTTCATTGGCATTATGTGCAAATATCAATTAAGTATTGTGATTAAGAAGGATAATTAATATCAATGGAGTTAGGAAGAGAGGAGTAAATGTGTTCACTGCTAACAAATGCTACTCTCTCCTTCATTAATTAATTTACTGATTATCAGAAACAATGGGAGGATGAGGAAAGATGGAAAGGATGAGATCACGGATAAACAGATAATTACGACAGCAAAGAAAAAGATCACGGATAAACAATAATACATACTCTGTCATTTATTCTGATTTTCAATAAGTTAATTTTCTATATTTCGGCAACATTTTCTTTGCTGTCGTAATTACGACCCTTTAGATGACCATATAAAATTTGCATAACTTGCATACAATAATTTCGAGAACATATCATATAATGAATGTATTATTCCACTGGTTTTAAGTCTAAATGGCTAATTATCCTGATGACGTAATGCTATCATATTCTTCTCTTTATGATTTATGATTTCTTCTTAGCTATTCTTAAGAAATAAAGATTGGATTTTTTCCAAATTTATCGAGTAAATTTTTAAATTATTTAATTCAAATTGTATCATACTATCACAATACAATTAATATATTCTTTTTTTTTAAAAAAACTTTTTTTTCAAGCAATCAAATTTTCAAGAAAAAATTTTTTCCTTTGAACAAATGGGTTAAACAAAGGAAGAAAAAAGTGAGAAATTTAAAAAAATTTCAAACCATGAAAATTTCATTAAAAATCATCAAACATTTATAATTAGGGAAGAGAAAATTAAAATGAAGTATACACTGAGTGATGTTTCTTTTACAACATTCTTTTTTTTTTTTTTTCGTTATTTTGCGCTCATACCACTTTTCCTTTCAATATTTATACCAATTTCTGATAAGCAAATAACTTCACAATTTATTAATGAAACCATAAATTTTAAAATTTGCTTCTTTTTTTTTGAACAGATTCAGACATTTCCAAAAATACAAAATATGATTTATGTTTCAATTTCAATCTTTTTAATTTGATTTGTTTAGTTTAATGTTTAAAGGTAAATTGTTATGCTAGTCATCTGGTAGTCTTTCATGATTTTTTTAGTTTTTCAATTTACATTCCTCTTCTTCCTTCCTATCACCAATCAAAATTCAAAAAAAAATGAACTGATCATTGATGATTTAATTTTACAGAAATAAGAAAAGTTTTCGAAGTAGATTGGATTGTTTACTCTTTGACTGTCATTTTTTTTTATAAGGTTAGAATTACTTCATCTTTCTTTATCTTTTCTTTTTTTTGGACATCAGAATGCCCAGCTATATCTTTGAACTACGTTTGCATTGCAGTTTCTCGTGCATATGACATTATTCTCTTATTACTAAATATAGAAATTGTATAACTTGTATTAATTTCGGAAAAATTTACCGTTTTCTCCCGTAAAATGTAAAAATAGAGAAGATTTTGAAAAATTTTGAACGGATGGACAGACAGGTGTGGTTGTCACTTTTATCACAGCCAACTCTTCGATCATCAAAAAAAAAAGAAAAAAGACAATCCATTATTCTAGTAATTTATTTATTGTGTCTCAGTCTCACTCATTAACAAAAACGCTATTATGGTCTAAATTATCCCACATCATTACTTGACGTCGACCACTACTGTCGCCATTCTCCATCACTACTATTGCCTTGAACTTTCATTATAACTGGAACATCATTCTTTATAATTGTGTATTATCAATTTTGAGCTTGGTGGATATTTTTAGATCTATCTTGTCAATTACTTCATCTTACCTTCAGTACTTTAAGCGACCTATAATTTAGTTACATTTACAGGAGATAAAGAAAAAAAACCAAATCTCCTTAGGCTGTTGAATTGACCCTAGCAGATTTAGTAATGATAGTGTGTTCAACTGTAGTTTTCTCTTTCTCAACAGCTATGATACTATTTCCTAAGGCCAGCATTTTCGTATTTGGCCTTTTTATCTGTTTTTGAATTAATTGGCTAATTGTAACTAATTCAAAGTCCAATAACTTTCGCTCGAAATACTCCATGAAAATATGAAATAAATCTTCTAGGCTCGCATCACATTTTCTAACCCAAACGATAAGTGATTCTTTTACTAAATATCCATTGATTGCTTCAACAACATATCTCGGGACCTGAATTCCCTTAATCTCTTCATTATCAAATTGTGAGCATAGAAAATTTTCATCACCACATACTAAAGTAACAACTAAAAGTTCATCATCCAGTGTGAAAATTTAGGGGAAAAAAGTGACATGGTTGTTACCATCTGCTTCATTTTTCACAGTCCCATATGAAAAAGATTTTACTTGGAAAATACGACATCATTCAATTCTTTCCATACTCTTCTCTTCAACATTCTCCTCATTTTCCCATTCTCTCTTAATTTTCTCCGATAATTTCATTGTTTATCAAATCTTCCAATCATTTCGATATATTAAGTTCAAAATTTTTATTTTTCAATTTACGATGATTTTTTACTTCCAAAATTGCATGTTATCAGTAAAGTCTATAAATATTTCTGCATTGAACTGTCCCCTTCTAACAATTTATGTTCTAATCAATATCTGAACGGAATTCATCGTGTTATTAGACGTCATGATTTTTATGCGTATGTTATTGTAACGTTACATTTAAAAAGTAACACGTAACACGCATGGACAAGACGTAAATCCTTCCATACAAGACGCAACTGCTTTCAGTTCTTTCTCATTTCGATTATTATCGTTGTTTTAGTCAAGACATAAAAATAGTTCGAAAATTTTTCGAATTTATTTTAAAGTACGATTGGCGTAATATACGTATCATATTAGCTAAGATAATTTGGTATTAGATATTATTGGGATTACTGTGTCGAGTTGTAATCATAGAAATAAGTTTATATATGAGTGAATAAATCTCAGCTTCAAACTCTGAGCGCCTGTTCAGGATTCTAAAGCCCGAGTATTGAATGTTGTTCAGTACTAACTGTCAGTAAATTATAAATGTGTCTTATTGTTTTCTTTTTTTATGAATAACAATTTGATGTTTCTCAGAAATCTTCAAAACTTTGAATAAATCATTGCAAAAATGAAGCAAATAAAATATAATAATATCTATGATCAAAACGCTATAAGTTTTTCGCCTATCATTTTTAGCTATTATTTAATCTTTCTATTTTTAATTTTGCTAATAAATTTACTTCTAATCATTATCTTGGGAATATTTGCATAGTTATATTAAACAAGAATCTGCAAATAGAACAAAGTCTTTTTTGCATTTAGCATCCTGCATTTGCGCTACTGACGTGAGAAATTCATGTCAATAGCGCAAATACACGATGATATGGTTAGGTGACAATCTTCTGAAAAAGTTTACTCTATTACCCTTTCATTTGTTTATAATTAATAGCAACTTAGTCTTCATAAACATCAATTAATCTTTCTATTAGTAGCTGTTTTGAAGAAAGGATGAGTACATTTAGCTGTCAGAAATAACTCTCTTTACATTTACATTTCACAATATGAATTTAGATTTTTCATTTCTGATATTTTGATCTACCGCTTTCAATAAATTGCAGTGCTTATAATTACAGTTAGCTTGATAAAATCAAATATAGTGCAAGACGATGTAAATTATCATTGTGAGCTTTCATAGATGGCTCCTAATTGAAATCAATGATAGCTTAAAGAACTATAGGTTGATTAAGTGAACGACAAAATGACTCTCAGCCATCTCAGCCATCTTCCGAACTGTCATATTCGATGTACATTTGCTGCGTCATCACACAATACAAATCAGTGTAGATTTCAATTTTAAATAAGTAAAATTAAGTTAAGAATATTTCGTGGTAATCAGTTCCTTTATCATAAAAGGGGATGCGAATTTACAACAGTGAAAAAGGAGGGGAATGAAACTTCTTTCGTGACGGGTCTTCTATAGAAGAATGATTCATCATTTCAAGAGAAATGAAAAACCAAGAAGTAGAAGGTTCCAAAGTTGGATATTATTATAAACAAGCCACAAAGTTATGCTGATAACGTTTCCATTTTCTCGTTAAAATTTGAAATAAATATTTAATTAAATGAATTTATTTTAGAGACGATATGAACAAAAGCATGTGTGCGACATTTCAGCGTGACATTCCCGTAAGTAATTCACTTTTTTCTTTACCGTTTATTGAGAAACACTAAGATTTTAAAACTTACTACTATATTTTTTAAAATGTCGTTTACATTCAATGGGATTTAGTTAATTTCTGAGAAGATGACTTTCAAAAATGAAGCAAAAGATTCTCTCATCTTTTCAAATTTACCTTTCTCATTTTCATTTTTGAATTTTAAATTCTAACTTGAAAAAATATTCGGTTCAACAGAGGAATATTCAAAAAGATTCAAAATGAATTAAACCAAAGTACTCATCTGTCGTTAAATCAATCTCTTCAATAATATTATCACTTTTCATCTTTCATACCTATTAGTTCTTATTCGTGTTTAAGACTATTATCAGTACAGATATAGGAAGATCGAGAAACGCTGAATGACTTGAAGACCTCGAGAAAAGTACAAAAATTAGAATTCATCGCATTTTGTATTCAACACGATTAAAGTTTAATGGAGTTTAAGGTATGGCTAACAGGAAAGCTTGGATTAAGGAACCCGCAAGCTAACCTGAAATAAAGTTAAGTAATACTCGAAGTTTGTCTACGTTTTGTCGACGGTCCTTCATAATCCAAATAAGTAACCATCAAAGTAATATGCACTATCAGCTGCCGTAATTTGTCCCAAAGATCTGAGAAACTTTTGGTACCCCAAAAACTTTCAAAAAATTTTTAACTGTAACTTTTGGAAGTCACGAACACTTTACGGAATCGGAAAGGAAATAATACTTGAAAATCGAGAGAAATAGACGAATCGACAGCTTTGTGAAATGTTAAATATCAAAAACAGCACTTTTACGACTTAACTCTCTGTATATATGACAATAAATTAATTTAAATTTTTTCCTTTTAATTTCTCTATCCGTAATAGTGGATAGAAAAAGCCGTATAAATCATAGAAAAGCAGAGTGAGTAATAGATGAAATAAAGTTTATCATCGAAGTACTTCCTATCAAACGATATCTAATCAGCCCAATTATGGTCATTTGTCACCTTTCAATCATTAGTTACTCTCGGTGATATCTTCGTAAGATTTTTCTGCATGAATTTTGATTAGATTCAGTTCATAAATATTTGTTTCATAAATGTAAGAAAAATGAAGATTGAAATGTAGAAATCTTTTATTCTCAAAAATTCGGTTGTACTTCGTTTTCAGAAATATTTATAATAAAATATGACGAAGTGGGTGAGAGGTCAACGTGTTATTAAAAGTGTCACGGAAAATGGACACAATATGATGAGCTGAATAGGTCAGTCTCTTAAAATAATTGTAAAATAATGGCTTATGATGAGAAAAGATTCAAGGCACATTCTACAAAAGGAAAAAATTTGTTGTTATTTAAAATAATATTAAAATAAGAAATGCTGTGAACATTAATGAAAAGATGAATGAGGTCAAGCCAACAGTCTTTTTAATATATTTTGAAATTTATCTACGTCAAATAAAAAGCTTGCGAAAGGGAAAAATGCTTTAAAATTGTTTGATATGCTAAAGGAAATGTCAAAAAATGATGTAATGATGAGTTCAAATTTCAGATTTATTGGATTAAAGGTAAGATAATTAAGTTAAAAATTCAAGCAACAATATAAAAAGTCATAGTAAGTTTAAAATGAGAAAAAAAAAGTTTACAGTAAAGTGAATTGCATGGATGGGTATACTGTGGAGAAATGAGGTTTTATGTTCCTTGGCTCATCATTGGGTTGCTGACGATCGTTATATTTTCCAATTTGTTTATCATCTACAATGTTATCAAGGTATTCATATTCAACCAAACATGCTTTGTTAATTATTCTTCATTTAATTTTATAGTACTAGCTAGGTAAGTTTTATGTATGAGTGGATGCCGAACAAAATTTCAAATCTTTGGTCTGGTCATTTTTTTTCTCTTGGAAATTTTTTTTTCAAAGAACTAAAAGAATGAAAGATCGAAGATGATTTCTCAGTGTGCTAGAAAATTGCAACAAAATGATTGAATAATTGATTGATAGCTCTATTCTAGCCTCATAATTTATCATAAGATAACCAATGTCAATTATCAGAATCATTCATCTCGCATCATACGACATTTAAATAATGTTTGAACAAGGTTCCATTTTATTTATTGCTATCACGTTATTGTCATAAATGATAATTTCATAGGGTAAAATCAATTTGGCAACAATCTCGGCGACAACCCAAAAGTATGCTAATAGTATTCGTTCAGGAAAAATAGGTAAGAAAGTCAAGCAGAGAAAGTTAAGATAGTCAAGTGTTTTCATAGATTTTTTTTGTTGTTTAAAATGAATAGATGTTTTGATCTTTGGCGAATGAAATTTCATGGGGAATATGCAAACTAACATTGTAGGTTGGTTGACTAATTGAAAGGACCTCTTTTATAATCTAATTTCAACTTGTTACCATTTTCCTCAATACTCCTTTTTGTAATGTGGATAAGACAGAAGTCAGAACAGAATCAAATGTTTAATTAGGGTCTAAATTTCATCATGCCATCATCATAAATTCAAGAGGAAAATCAAAATCCAAAAACTGAGTGCAAGGAATACAAATTTGTTAAGGAATATGAATCATAACCTGACTAACTTCCAAAAATTCATCTACTATTTCCTGACGCTTTTGTATTTCTAAATTCACAAATCTTGTTAAAATTTCAAAAGATATAATAATTTTTCCAACAATACAATATCAAGTATTATCATCATCAAGAACGATATCAGATGCAACTGTGATGGATTCTCCAACAACATTGAAACATCGACGTCGGTACAAATTTAATAAGAAGCTTGGGAAGTACGTAAGGATTAAGAAACCACGATTGGAGCAAATCCACAAACAAAATATAAGCTTAACAACTCCGACCATCGATTCTACATTTAACATCTACGTTACGGTGAGATATAGACAGTAGACACATTTTCAGATGAGAAGAACGTGGTTTTCCACGTTAACTACTGAGCTGTATCTTTGGTTTCATTCGATGATTCAGAAATTCAATCTTAAAATTTCGTAATTTCAGTTTATAAGACTTTCAATTTTATATTTTGCTGAATCAGTTTAACTCTGAAAACTTGAAAAATGCAGTAATCTGACGTCATCTAGAAATATTTCAGAATCACGCAACAACTGTGACTAACAATATTAGCTCCTCAATCATATCTGATATTTCAAATACTTCATTCACTGAAGAAACTATAGAAAAATCATTCATGTGGAATATTTTTGCCCCCTGCTCTTCTGATACTTTTATAGCAAAATCAGCAACATCAACAACAACAACAATAACACCAACGACAGCACTAACAACAACAACACCAACAACAAAAGCAACAATAGCAAAATCAACAGCAACAGCAACAACAACAACAACAGTAACAACAATACCAACGATAACAATAGCAACAACAGCAACAACAACAACAGCAACAACAATACCAACGATAACAATAGCAACAACAACAACAACAACAACAACAACAGCACCACCACCATTAACAATGGCAACAACAACAACATCGACAACATCAACAAAAACAGCAACAACAACAACAACAGCAATACCACTTATTGTTACAGGTACAATTATAGACATTAATTCTACTACCTACTGTTACTTCTATTACTACTACCACAGAAATAACAGCTGTCTTCAGTACTTCAGGAAGTTCAATCTCATTAAAAAGGACTTCACTTCTTGACAGATTGCTTCAGCAAAAGCGACAACATCAATCGTTTGTTGTATTACCAACTACAAGACCTCTAACTTTACCATTACTGTCTTCACCCTCACAACCTCTGTTACAAATCCCATTATCACCATTATCAATATTGGGATCACTAGTACCATCGACATTTCCATCATCTTTATTGTCATCAACACCCATACCATTACCTTCAGTTCCTGTCAGATTGCAATTGCCGAATATGGGTAAGAATGCTGATTTATCGAAAAAAAAAGTATAACTTTAATTGTTTACATATTGATTTGACGATTAAATATAGATAACTGTATATTTTCAGATAATATTTAGATTTTTTAAGGTCACGAATTCAAGTAACAACTCAGTGTTTTAGGTCTTTTGAGGTCGCAAGCTCAAGTCACACATTCTAATGTTTAGATCTTTTGAGGTCAGAAGTTTTTGGAAATGTCGACGGGAATACAAAGAAAACCGCAAACCGGGGAACTGCAACCTTCATTATCCACCGAAATTACCGCCCATCCTCGATTCACTGTTTTACAAATGCACCAGGAAAAAGCTCAAAATCAGGAAGTATTGGATCCTTTAAAATCAGTGGAAACTTTTCAACAGACTACAAATACACCATCTAAGTTAGTAATCTTTCCAAATTTTAGCAAAAACAAAATTGGATTTCAGGTTTTAACAGAGAACGGCAGTGAAGCAGATGTTGAAGAGTTCAACAACAAATGAGTTTCAGAAGTTTGACCTCAAACAGCTAGTAATCCACGCCTTAGTCCACATATACATTTAGAAGTTAGCAGTTTAAAAAATTCCAAGATCACAGATGAAATCTCTGAGTATCTTCTCCAGGCAAAACAATCCGAACATCAGTTCAATATTAACTCCTCAAATGAAAACAACAGAAGACATATATGCTTCTTCATTGATTTATTCCTTCAAGCAAAATGTTTATGCATAAAGAAAATTGATATAAAGAAGCATTAAATGAATATAATTTTAGGGTCACAACATCAGGTTTTACTTTAGTAACAGCTCTACTGGACATCGGGAGAGGCGATTGGTGGGAATATCGTCGTCCATTGGGAAGTTATTATGGCTTCCTGGAAAATTTGCTGAAGTTAAAAGTTAATTTAATCATTTTTGTTGATCAGAAAAGCGTGAAACATGTTTACACTCAAAGGAAATTGTATCGTTTGGATCATATTACCATGGTAAGTTTGATTAAGTGACAGATGAACGGTAAATTATGCTTTCACTACTAATTATGTATGTTAAAATTATAATTCGACTTATACCATTTAACTTAAGTGCCTAATGTGCCCAACATCTTTTTTCCATACTCAAAAGATAAGCGATAATGTAATATTCTCGAAATTTCAAGATAATTCCAATTAATTTGGCTGAACTTCCACTCTATCGATATATGAAAACAGCAATGGAAATAATAGCAGATGAACGAAACGATAAACGTTGGGGTCAGCAGTGGGATCGTTCCATGAGTTCACATCCGGAATCAAAAAGCGCCAAATATGACATATTGGTTAACTCCAAGTCATACTTTTTGTACAATGCCTCGGTAAATCTTTTAAAACAATTGCAGAGTAAAATTTTAGAAAATTTAAAACTTCTGCAAATCAATTTGCTTGTAAAAGTTGCTTTAAACAATAAATAAATCAAATGAGCTGCAATTAGACTTGCCACTTAAACATTTCAAAACTTCAACAAATCTTAAATTGTTAATCATATTTCTTCAGATTCATATTTTGTAAATTAAAATGGAATACGCTTGTTAAGTTAAAAACATTAAGAATTGCTTGTTAAAAGATCCTTGTGCTCCTATTCATACTGAAGATTTCATCCTAAATTATTTCAGATAAGTAATCCATTCAAAAGTGAATTTTTTGCCTGGTTAGATGCTGGTTATGCGCATGGCAATCAATCCGTATTTCCGCCATCGTTTCATTGGCATCCTACTTTAGTACGCAGGAAAATTTCCCTCATTAAGGTAAGGAATGTATCATTCAACTTTGTCCATCCATCAGTTTTCACATTTCTTTAATTTCACGAATGAGAATTTGTATGACTTAACCATCCGTCTCTGACTGAAAAGTCAGACATTGTTGAAAAAATATGTGTTCAATTAACTTTTTTTAATGTACAGGTAATGAGTCCTTGCAACAATACTGTAACGGTTGTTGATTACATACGGTTGTTGATAACAAAAACAATGTTTATCAATAATAGAGTATGAGAGGTTAATGAAATACCCGGAGTGTAACGGTAATTGATTGTATGAGAGAACTATGTTGCCAATAAAGTGAAAGAATGGACAATGGACAATATGAGATTGTTTCTTTAGTAATATCCAATATGCATAGGAAGGATGTGTATCCCAGGGTTATTTAGATTCAAAGAATGAAAGAGCTTCCGGTATTTCATAGGTAATAAGTGTTTTTGGGTTCTCATAGATATTATTCAGGAAAGTGGAAAATTCATATAACATAACGCTCAAGCCCTTTCTAGCCACAGGATTTACGTTTAACTCCATTATGTTATCTGGATGCTTGAAACTAACAGATATTCTGTGTAATATATTGTTCATTTCAGGTGACACCATTGTTCGACAATATATTCCGATATACACTTACTGATTTGTACCGTAAGAACTGGGCTGTGGTAAGTGGAGGTTTCCTTGGTGGTGATATCTATTCGTTAAATCGCTTTCATCAGTTGTACCATCAAGTAGTCCTCAACCTGATTCACCAAAAATACATCGACGATGACCAGGTAATTCATTAATGTTATCGATTTTGAGCATTCTATGTTACGTATTTGCATGTCAAATATATCAAATTTGTTAAGCGAAAATCTCTTATCTGTTAGGATTTCTAAAGTTGCATGTGCTTAACAACTCGATAATGTAAGCCTTATTAACTCTAATGAATATCTTAAGTATTCGTATTTCTTGAACTTCTCTTCAATCGATGTGGCGCAAAATATCATTTCAGACAACTCTCGTATTGCTCATCCAACAACATCCATCATTGTTTAATGTGGTACATGGAGATTGGTTCGATGCATTCTATTTATTTCCTTAATTAGCACTTAGTGCTCGCTCTGTATTTTAATTCAACAGAAATCTCTAGATGTGGAATATTAACAAATAAACAAATCAGGTATGTCAAGAAATCCTTACCTGTAATAATTTTCGACTTCTCCATTAATATCCGACCATATTGTTCCGATATTGGTTGTTGCCACTGGAAATATCGCATTATTTTATTCCAGGATTTTATGTTTAATTCATACTTTTAATACTCCAATATGGAAAATGAAAATATACTTCGATTCATTTAAACCGAAGTAATTTCATTCTTGCTCACTTCAAACTAATTATTAGTCGGGAAAGTTCAAGTGCATAGTCAATAACATATGCAACGTTATTAGGTGGTTTTTTTTTCTTGAAACTTCAGTTTAACTATTTTATTATATGCTGACTCATCCTATTTATTTATTCATTGTAATGTGTTTCCTATCAGCCAGATTCTTCAAAGTTGGACAATGCGACTGGAAGTGAAGAACGAGTAAATTGAGAAAAAGTCAATTTAAGATGTTTAAAAAAAAATAAAATAACCGACCACTTCCCAAATATTACGTCAGAAGCAAAGTTCAGAACCAAACAGCTAAAAAGTAACGAATTTATATTCGAGAGTTAAATTCCTATCCACTAAGAGGGAATAGAATGTCAGTTCGTTTGTTCCATACATCACAACACCTCATAATCCTGACTCTTAATCAGTCAATGATCTATACATTTGTATTTGATATTTCACTGCCCTTTCTTCTTTTGCAATTCTAATTTCATCATTTTTTGTCAAGTCATTCGAAATTTATGCTAAACTGCCAATTTCACAATCCTCATGTTGTTGGCCAAAATAATTCGTGCTTTTGAACAAATAATATTCACTTTTTTTGTACAATAAATTCTGCTCAATCTTCTTTGCATGGTATTTCTTACAGAACAAAATTTACGAACAATCGAGTAAAACAACAAGCAAAAGGAATTCCAAATACTTTTACAGAACCTAATCGTAAGGTAATAAGACGAGCTTAATATGATTGATCATAATCATTCTCAATTCGGAATATGATATTACTGGCAAACAGTACGTTCTAGAATGCTGTTTTGGTGCAAAATTGGATAAATCTGTCGAGATAGTGCATTAAGCACCTCGCCAAAACAGTTTCAGAATTACTGGATATTTTCACTAGTGTTACCTCTACAATGTTATCAAGAAGAAATTCCCCGGAAGATCTCTATTTTTTGTAGCCGACACAATTTCCAAAATAAAAACACAGAATACAAAGTAAGATGCATAAATCAACTGTTCAAAAAGAAATTTATTTCTCATATCAAAAGTATGTAACTGAAAAAGAAACAGAGACATAATTTTTTTATATATCTGCTTTGAACTCATAACAGTAAAATGTAGTAAACTGCTATGACTTTCTTTCCACCTAAACTCCATTTATGCATAGATTCACTGTCATCAGGAGGTGAACTTGAACAAGTATACAAGAAAATCAAAAATTCAGTTTACTGCCATTTCCTCGGCTGAAACAAACATATAACACAGTATTACCCAAGCACTTCATTCCGAATCACTCTCTGGTTCCGTCTTTACTCCGGAAGTATCTAAGTCGTCATCTGTTTCAGATTTAATTGATATCTGACCATCAGATAGCCAATCTTCTTTTTTATTGTCCAGCTCATCCTGAATTTTACATTACGTGAGGATCTAAGCGAAGTTCG